AAGGTGTACTGTACATGATGTGTTTATCCCTTCACTCTAATGAACTGAATGTTTGCCAGTACTTGTGAAATGGAATGGGAACTAGTGTTCAATGAATATATATAGAATCCTAGTTGGTATTGTGTGTGATGCTCCCAGATGCCAGTATTTAGTATTGTCGATGGAATTTAGGATATATCTATGTTTTTCCTATTGGAAAATTTCTTTCCTCTGAACCCAGGAGTAATTGTATAGCACGTTTATTGGATCCAGATGTGTTTTGTTTGTGAAGAAGAAATGAGTTCCAATAAAATTATGGGGTTAGTTCCAGTTGTGTTTTACTGTCAGCCGCGATAGCTCAGTTGGGAGAGCGTCAGACTGAAGATCTGAAGGTCCCTGGTTCGATCCCGGGTTGCGGCATTGTTTTTTGGTGTTCTGGGTGGGACAGAATAATTCTGATGTCGAAATAAGGTAAAAGTGTGATGTGAACGTCGGTACGTAAGAAACTCTCAAGGGGTGCAGTGTTATCGCAACAAAGGTTTTTGCTGTATAGTTTAATGAGAAGTATACTGGATGATTTATGCACATATATCTTTTTTTTTAATCCAAATGAGAATGATCTTTGGTTAACAGGATGTTCCTGTAAAGGGAATTTTTCAAACACTCCCAGGGCAAAGGAGTCAAAAGGAAAAACCTTCTTTAATTGATATGCCCAGGAAGGAACTGACATGATAAGAACAAAAGACTCCATACATTACACAGATATCTCACAACACGTTTATCAAACCTTTCGTGTACGCTGCGGAAATAAGCACAGTGTCATGCAACGAAACAATTCTGCAGCTATTGAATTATTCCACTTTTCCTCCCAGTGCATTGTAAAGATTGCGGTATCTGGAGTATCCATTAAGTATTTATCTTTTACTAAATAAATATTTCAAGTTCTTAAAGCTCTGGATTAGAACTACACTATACCCTAACTCTTGCCATACAGGAATCCACAAGTTAGCCACCTCCACTAACGTCAAAGAATTCTCCGCCAAGAAGTGTGTCTGGCATTGATTATGCAGGACCTGATGGATTCAGAGGTAAACGTAGTTAATTACAGTTTCCACTATTGAACAGAATAAATAAGAGTTTGTTGAGGGCAAAAAAAAAAAATGCACAAAACGAAACTTTTCAACAGGTTGTGGTTAAGGACACTTTGAGTGGTGATTTATCGTAGACTGATTTGTATTGTATGAAAAAAGGTTGTAAATGAAAATATGAAAAAAAAACTCTTAATTAAAAAATGAATATTAAAAAAAAAAAAAGGACCCAACAAACAATGGGATCTTTTTCTATTCACTCATTTGTAGGAAAAATGGATGTACTCTAAGGTGATATTCGGACAGTTGCACTACTGAAGTAAAACCCAGAAAAATGAGAAGATTAAAAAACATGATATTTCTTAGTTTATTCACACCATCACTTTGTGAATTACAAACACTCATCTTTACTGTTTGAATGTATAAGAGGGAAACTGCTATACAGTATACATAACAATTACCATCACAATCATATTACACAGCCTTGAAAGCACCACCACTGCACCCAGAAGTTTCTATATGAGCCACAGCTCTCCTACGGTATTATCAACAACAATAACAACATTAGCTTAATTTGGTATTCTGTTACTACTACTGACATTGACTTCTCTTTTCTCCTTGTTATTAATGTATTGTATAATCGAGTAAAACGAGAAGTATATTGTGTACGGAAACATAATAAACAGGAGCATACTAAAACAAAAACTCTAATGTCGTATACAATATATATTGCAGACTATTATTAACAATAATTATCATCAAGAAAACGATAGAAACTTTTATTCTTTTCTGCACATCATATATCTAGTACACGAATAGATATTAATCAAAACCACCATTTTAATAAATAAGTTTCTGTTTCTTTTCTTCTTGTGATACGTATCATTTAAGACAGTTCACACGAATAACACAGCTACACAATCACTATGCGCACAATTCTATTGTTAACCTTGCTACTGATACTCTCCTGCATCTGTACATGTGCAGCAGCAGCAGAGAGGATGCCACTGCCGGTGCCACGTGTGGGTGGATACGCTACAGAGGCGAAGGGAACAGGAGAACGGGGTGACCCTGTGAAAATCTCATCAGTTGATGACCCAGAAACAGATATTCACAATCCTAAACATCCACACCATTTGGGTAACGGTGAATTCACTACTACTACACCATCCCTCAGTATGAGTGAGTCCATGATTGCCTCTGCCCCAACACCACCAGATGGCCAACAACAAGAATCAGCAGGAGATCAACAGGCCGCCCCTACTGAGGAGTCGACTACGACGAGCACCGCAGCACCGAAGAAGAAGAAGAAGGACG